AACCAAAATTTGAGCCAACCTAAATTTAAATCATAGACTAGAATCTAACTGAATATGAATTAAACAAACTAAATAGAAAAGAATACTTTAATGAAACTCTAAAATTGAACTAAAAATCATCCTAATCCCAATATACTCTGAAATTATTTCTCTCTCCACTTGTTATCGTAGAGCTTAAAATTTTTTTCTAAAAGCTGCATGGCTTTTATTATCATATATGAAAAGCATCCAAACAGGTTTGATGACAGATAGACATTATTTATACATAAAACTTTTTGTTTCGAGTTTTCTTGCATGAAAAGTAGACCTGTGTATTTTTTTTTCATCGAAGCATTATTTTTCAAAACAGATAGTACGAGTGCATCCAGAATATCGAAACCTTTCAAATGAGCTCTTCTATGCTTAAATTGGGCATCGTTTAGGGTTTCATTAATTTTATGATAATTTGGATTATTATTTTGATAATAAAAAAAATAATCGTGATACTTCACTTAAAATGACTGTAAATCAAAACCAAACTTCAGCCAAAATGAATTTGAGCTAAGAACACTAATCTAACCAATTAAAACCCATTAAAAACTTTCATCTAAAATCCATCAATCTCTCCTATGTAGGAGCCCAAGCTTTGATTTCAAATAACTTAAGATATAATCAGTCCACTTTGACCAAAATTGACTTCACCAGGATGTTCTTATTTTGCATTAGTCAAATGAGGCAAGGACAATTATTTTCCTATAACCACCTTTGCACCTTTGAAATTTGAATTGAAACAATTGGAGATATTGGACAGTTTAAACAATACCGAATTTACTAGTATGTTCTCTTTTTTTTTCTTTCTTTTTTTTTTTTTTTTTGAGACATTTTCCTATAACCACCTTTGCACCTTCGAAATTTGAATTGAAACAATTGGAGATATTGGACACTTTAAACAATAATGAATTCACTAGTACGTTCTCTTTTTTTTTTTTTTTTGAGACAAATAAGCCAAGGTTATTTTGTGGAGCCATAAGCACCTCAACCACCCCATTTGAATTCCCACTCCTCCCCCCTCTTATTAAGGAAGTTTATTGAGAAGCAATTCAAGACTCAACAGAAGGTTCAGTTTACAAATCATAATCAAGGGTTGGCTAAAGATTCATTGGAAATGAAAAGAGATCCGACAAGAGGAACACGAGGAGGAAAACATCCACCATCAAGAACCTCCTCCCAAGGCTTTAATGGTGGGTGGGTGTGTGTGTGTGTTCCTC